TTATCCCTGCCGCCGCGGCTCGATTATCTCGCGTAATCCTCCGGCGTATCGATTCCTCTGTATTCGCGAATCCGTCGCCGAATTCTGACTCGCGTTTGGCCGCGAGTCGATCGAAATCGATTTTCGACAGTCCCTTAACCCGTTCACTGCGCGGTTGTCACGTTTTTCGATGAACACGAAGAGTTTGATCGTCATTTCTACGAATTCAGTGAAAGATCTGTGAATTTTGTAAACGATACGTACTCATTATTCAGTGGCTGTTTATAAACAGCGATTAGACCCGCGAGTATTACATAATCTATGTAAATGTAATAGCAGCGATTTCTACATTGTGTCTTTCCGAGGATGACAAATTTATCAATCCCCGATGCCGATTAGCGACAACAATCGGCGAAAATCGTTGTTCTCAACGATGCTGACGAACTTTGGAAGTAACGAGAGTATACTGGGATACTTGTCCAGCAAAGGTACGTCGACTCGCGGCACCAATTAGCGATTGCTGAATCAGAGTTGACGGGCCCGCTTAGTGGAACGCTAACTCGGATTTAGCGAGTAGGTATGACCGCGTGATAATACGCCGTGGCGAGAAAGCAGATAGAAAGTGAGCTGGGTGTTTCTTGGATTAATTCTGTTCGGACCTCGAGATCGCTTTCGTTGCGATAAGAGCGATTTTTCCGATTTCATCCGTGCATCGCTTCCAAGCGTTTTACGCACGGTCATTACGAGCCTTCCGTCGGGTTAGATTATTGCGGTCATTTTCTAGAAATTGTATGCGATTGTTAAAGCGTTCCGAAGTTATCTAGTAAAATACACGAGGATCTAGTTGAAACACGGCGACGCGGAGCTCTGGTCTTGAGGGAAATCTATGCCATGCTCATCTTATAAATTGTAAACTTTATATCACATGTACGAAAGTAAAATTGTTTATCGTGTAATTAGTCACCGCTGTTCGTTGCAGCTGCGCCACACCTTAAATATGTATGTCCATCGTGGCTAAATTCTTTTCATACCACTTCCAAAAAAGTAAAACTTTTTCTATTCTTCGTTTGTATTTAAGATATACTTCCTAGTACAGTCAATTATCAGTGTTGCGTCGCGTCTACCAAAAATGAATCCTTTAATTCTCGACCGAAAGCCTCGCGCCACCAAAAATAGACAAAATCGTCTATTGTCTGATGAACAAGATGCGCATAGACTGTAAAGTCGGGTTTCATGGTTCGTCCATTGAATGGGTGACGCGTTCGCCCCCGGACTCCCTAAAAATTTTATAGTCCCCTCGTCCACGCACGAGGAGAGAGATACGTGTCGTATCGGCGAAGAAGATCGTGCTGCGAACGTGGCTCGGTGTTGACACGACAAGAAAACTAACCGCAACTATACTATACTCTGTGTCGATCGTGAATAATCAGTCGACTGAGCGCCGTTGTGAACAGAAGAAAAAGACTGAAAATAAACACAGGTGGTGGGGAACGGCGATGACAGTATGTAAGTCAAGCAGGTTTCGCCGTGAATCCTTCCGAGAATATAAATTGGACATTTTCTCGTGTCTTATCGAACGCCGTGAGGAACGGTGGCTAACGGTAATCCAAGTTACAAAACCGAACCGTTCTCCGTGTTATTTCATCGGTTACGAACATGGAAAGTGCATCGCCGCCGTTGCACTTATGAGCTTAGCACCTTTCGTTCCTATTCATATTTCGTATCGGTTGTCCAAATGCGATATTTTTCGTGTAGTCTACAATGTCCACGAAACTTATATGTTTCAGTATTGGTTATACATGGTAAACCACGAATCGTGATCAGTAGAGATTACTCTGTTATTACTAGTCCAATCAAAAATGTTTTTATGAGATATAATATAGTCTCAAGAGAGCTTTCACGTGACTATAACAAATTCTTTGATTTTAATGACTTTTTAAGGTCATTTTCAATTTTTTGCAAATAGAGAATTTCAAGACGAATTCAGTAATTATCATAATATAACTTTTTCCTTTAACCCTCATTTAGTGACCTTAAAAAGTGATGGAAAAAACGAGCCGGTAGAAAATTGGCTATAATCACGTGAAAACTCTCTTGAAATCATGTCATGCCTGATAAAAACATTTTCGGACTGTTAATAACAAAGAAATCTCTACTGATCACGATTTGTGGTTCACCCTGTATATGTACGTGATATCGAATCTAATTAAAAGACAGCAAGACATTATTTACCGAATAGAGTTAAACAAATGAAAATGAGTTATTGCCTGCATAATGCATAGCAAAATACTTTGTTTAACGTATGATGTATATTTAATCAATAGTTAATTATTCCAAAGGAAATTATGCACCCCGGTATGCTGTTGATAGCTTGGAAGCATGCAATTTGATATATTATCGGCTACAGTTTCGTACGGCTTGGCTTCGCAAATCTGAAATTACAAGTAACTCTGCGATCGATATAAACCATAGTTCCAGCATTCACAAGTATTTGTCCAATTGAGTCACCGTTTCGGTATTGTTTGATCTATTCTTGAAATTTCAGTTTAATCATGAAAGAAGACGTGACCATCGAACAAACAAAAATACTCATTGTACTTATTTCTCATCTCTTGACAGACATTTTCTATCGCAAGGACAATTGAGATTCAGATTTATTTCCGGTGCTCGTTTAAACCAGTCCCCAAGCAAGATTACACGCGAAGCGCTATCGCAAACATAACTCAAGAAGCAGTCCGTTTTCCAGCGCCGGTTCCCCTGCCTCACATAAGCACTTACGTTCCTCGGAACTTCCGTTCTCATCATTATCGTTGGCCAACAACCCCTCTGTCACCCAGAAAGCAACGATTCTTGCTCGATCGACGAAGTTAAGCTTTGACAGTGATTAGACCTCACTGTTAGGTAAATGACTGTTCGCTAACTTTCTGGATGGACTTTGGACTAAAATTAATGAGTTGTACATTGACTTTATGTAGTTAACGTTGAAGACTCACCTGAAACCGGTTACGTAGTTAATATAATAGATGTTTCATATTTTTAATAGTAGTTTCATAATTTGATTTTTGTACATTTTACGACAATAATGTACATAAACGTACGTGTAGTTAAAAGTAATATTTCATACATAACACAGTACGATAACATAACGTTGTGATGTCATCTTGAGTGATGTCACTTATTCAAGTTTTATGTTCTATTATGCAACGTCTCAATTTATTATTACAATGAATAATCGCAGTAACGTTAAGGGAAATTTAACACCGAAAGTATATAAGGAAATAAAAGTATCGTTACTATATACGTGCATACTTGGCGTTCATCTATTAAATCTATCTTATAATGCGCGACGGGTTTATGCATCGAGTTTCGTCGTGTCTGTTCTTTTTGCTGAAAAGTTGAACGTCAGCGCGTTGGAAATTCTGCGCGAGCCACGGAACGGGAATCCGATTGATAAAGTTAGCCCGAGTTTCTTGGGCCCTCCACTTTGCCGTCGTCGTCGTCGACGTTGCTCCGGAGATTCGCATGCACTCTCGTAGCTGAACAGTCTTAAACGAGATACCGCCGCATTCCACGTCGACTTCGTCATTCGTTCGGTCTGACGACGATACACTCCGCCCGGCAAATGAGAGTTTCTGTCCTTTGTTCGTGGAAAAAGGAAAACGCCTGAGTCGATCTAGATATTCCCGTAACGAGCTCACTGTACATAGCGTATCATAAGTCCATTTCTAGAAATACAGGGACTAGCATGATTTACATAAATAAACGGTTTCCCTTTGGAATTCCATTTTACCTCCTCTATAAATTTATAACACACATATTTTGTTATTCTCTGTTTAATATTCAACATCGTAAGCCTTGTTCCATGTAACACAGAGTTACCTCCCTATTGTCCTACTTATTTATTTCTTTGCTCGATTAACTCGCACGAGACCGCACGAACCGAATTAGAAGCGATCTTGACACTAATTCCCAAGTAATTGATCGCCTCGATAAGCCGCGTTGGTCGGATCTTGTGAACGAGTCTAGTACTCGTAAGAGGTTCTTGTTTAGGGAATAACATGTATTACGTGTGCGCACTTGAGTAAACTGTGGACAGGACCTCGGACCCGACTCCGAGATCGGCTACACACGTGCCTCGTATCGTGCACTTGCGATAGAATGCCTCACGCCTTCGCGCGATTCCTAAGAAATTCATTCCGAACTGCTTCTTGTTAATTGCTAGTCATTTATGAAAGGGGGACGACCGTCAATCAATGTAACTCCTTTTCGTGATGAACGAATTCCGGTGAAAATAATTTAAGAAATTACAATTGAACGGGTTGAAAAATACTCGTTATTTTATTCACGAGTAACGGTTGCATAATTTGTCTAAACGGTTTTCCCGCCCAGACATTGGAATCGGTCTTTGGTCGTTGTTCTACAGCCTGCGGGTTAATTTCGTTAATTATACTTCAACGAAGCCGATATTATCACATGCGAGTAACGATTGACGATAATTATTACGCTGAAGAAGAAGAGGATGCGTTGTTGGTAGTTATACCTTCGTTTTCATGTACGACACTTCCTGGAAGACTTTTCGAAAAATAGTTACCAATCAAATAAAAGGGGAAACGAATCGGGCTCACAATTAAAATCGCTGGTTCGGTCGTCAACCGAGGACTTTCGCCTTGGTTGCACGAGGTCAGGTACACGACACTATGTAAGTACGAGTCGGCGTTTCGCGTTCGAGGAATACGAGCGAACGTGCGGTTACCAGATGACCGTACAATCGTGCGGGTAATTAGCACGGAAACTGGTTTCATCGTCGGGTCGTTCATAATTCGTGCCACGACCATTGCCAGCATCTCGGCGATCGTAATCATTGAACACGGTTCCTCTTTTAGCAGAGAATTACGTGCCTCCGATCGGGGACGATCACTTTTCATCTCAATATCTGCGTTTCTAGTAGACCATTGCATTTTTTGTGTTTTTAATATTTTCAACGGCTAATTAATTTTAAACGTTTCTCTTCGCTGTCGCAGATTCTCAGGATGTCGATCTGGATGCCATACTCGGCGAGTTGTGCGCTTTGGAGCGCCGCTGCGACGGTGACATCGCTGCCACACCTGCGCCCGATTCGCAGAGGCAGGGTCGACCCAATAGCGCGAGAATCACAGCTACCGATAACACCGATATTAGCAAAAATGAAGGAGGTAATTCGATAGTACAATTCAATTCACTGACTCGAGATAAGATTAGCATAACGAATACAGTATGAAACATTCTTGTAACGTTTTATAATTATCATTACACTCGATATTCGAATTCACAGAGTCCTAATTATGTTGTACCGTTGGCTAGAGTATAGTTTCAAGGTGCAATTGCTTTATAGGCTGTTTGCTTTCGCAGCTCTTGTTCCGCTTTAACAGCTGTCTAATATTTGCTTCAGCTATACGTACCGACAGTCCTGACAACGACAGCGCGTTCTCGGACACGGTGTCGATGCTGTCCAGCGAAAGTTCCGCGAGCAGCAGCGGTTCCGGGCACAAACCACCTCAGGCCGTCATGCACACAGGCCCTCAGCAGCAATCTCATCAACTCATGGGTAGGTCACAATTTTTATTCGACCCATCGAGATCTCGGAAGACCCGGATCAAGGAACAAAGCTTTTCCTATTATACATTTCTGTATTAATTGTGAGATCGTGTCTGTTTTCGAAGACGCTGCTAGCAGAGTCAAGGCAGAGAAGATCCGGCTGGCGCTGGAGAAGATGCGCGAGGCGAGCGTTCAAAAGCTCTTCATCAAAGCGTTCACCTTGGACGGCAGTGGAAAAAGCTTGCTCGTGGACGAACGGATGAGTGTGGCGCACGTATGCAGGCTTCTCGCTGACAAAAATCACGTGCCAATGGATCCGAAGTGGACGGTGATCGAGCACTTGCCCGACCTGTTCATGGGTAAACGTCCAATTCAATTGGTTACCTATTAAAATGAGCGGCAAATATTTTATCTTTATCTCGTTATTGTTGGTTTCCAGAGAGGGTATACGAAGATCACGAGTTATTGGTAGAGAATCTTTTACTGTGGACCAGGGACTCGAAGAATAAGTTGCTTTTCGTCGAGAAGCCAGAGAAGACACAATTGTTTCTCACTCCCGAAAGATTTCTTCTGGGCCCGTCTGACAGGAGTAGCGGCGAGTACGACGATCATTCGCGTAACATTCTTCTGGAGGAATTCTTTTCGAGCAGCAACGTTGGAGTACCGGAGGTAATTAAGCTTTCATGTAGATACGCATGATCTCCGAGATAAATAGTTAGACTTGATTTGTAAATAGTACAAGACAGATTGTGCTATCTCTCTTATCTTATCACTGCGATGTGTAAAAAATAATGAAACAATATTTTGATAATGTCCTGTCAGTGACAGATGTTCGCGCAGTATTATTCTTCTGAGTGGATTATATAATAATTGTAATTTCCAAGTACTTTCGTTTACTTGATTTGTTCGAAATTTATTTGTCCAGGTGGAAGGACCATTGTACTTGAAGTCTGACAGCAAGAAGGGCTGGAAAAGATATCACTTCATTCTTCGCGCATCGGGTCTCTACTATTGGCCGAAAGAAAAAGCACGTACCGCGCGTGATTTGGTTTGCTTGGCGACGTTCGATGTGAACCAAATTTATTACGGGATCGGCTGGAAGAAGAAATACAAGGCTCCAACGGATTTCTGTTTCGCTGTGAAGCATCCCAGATTGCAGCAACCGAAGTCGACGAAGTACATTAAATTCCTTTGCGCGGAGGATAACGCGTCGCTGGAACGATGGATGGTCGGGATCAGGGTGGCCAAGTACGGGAGGCAGCTGATGGAGAATTACAGGACTCTGGTCGACGAACTCGCGCAGGAGGATCTCGATATATTGGCCCACGCGAGATCTTGTTCCGTTAGCTCGATCGCTGTGCCCCCACAGAATCAGACGCAGTACAACACGACCAACGACAACGCGCGCCAGTTCACAGAGAACTCGAGGCACAACGCGGAAGTGAACAACGCGAGGCAGTACGATGGTCAGAGGCAGAGTTACAATTCTGAGCAACGACAGAGTTACAATAACGACGGCAGACTGAGCAGAGCGAGCAGCTCGAGTTCCAGCGGATGCTTGTCCGACGGTGCACCTAGTAGTTGCGAGGTAAATTATATTCTATATATAATATGTATAATGGTTATAAAATTAATTTAGCTGTTAGATAATTTGTTTTAATATTACAATGCTTAATAATTAACTGGATTATCTTATTCTTCATTTTAGGTGGCTTTTGAATGTGGCGAGTTTCCAACAGGTACGATAAAGAGGAAACCATCGATGAATCCCAAACTACCCCTAACGTCAATCACGAGACAATTAAAGGAAGTAGGCGAAACAGTTCGTGATGAGCCAGATAATTGCCCGAGTCCGACGAGTTCAGGTTCTGGGACGTTGACCAGAAGGCACAGCCGAAGAAGAAGTGGTACCGACTCGGATGGATCCGGAACGCTGAAAAGACATCATCGATCTGGAAACGCGACTCCGGTTAGTCCTGTACCACCCGGTACACCGGTTAGGGAAAGAGCGAGCCCGATGGGGTACAACAGAAACGAGAGTCAGGAGTCAAAAACGCCGACTAGCCCTATTCCATCATGCATGGTGAGTATTTGTTTATTATAAAAATTAATTTAGTAGAAAGTACGTACACAATATTTTATTTCGCCATGTTTTCAGTATTATACAAATTGTATAAAATCGTGTCAACCATTAATACAAGTGAATTTGTATTCGTAGATGGATTCGATCACTTCGTTGCCACCACCGCCGTCCCCATCAAGAGTAGCAGAGGAAGCAGAATCCGACAGTGAACCACTTCCCCCACCTCCACCAGAAATGTTCCGATCCAATCTCTCATTGGATTCGTTGCCACCACCTCCAGCACCTGGTGAACTGCCAATGTGCAACACTCCGGAGCTCACCGGCTCCTCGTTGAGTCTAGCGTCTCTTCCGCCACCTCCGAGTCCTCTAGTCGGCGAGACGGGAACCATCAGACGTGCCAGGCCGAAGCAGCCGACTTCAGCGAACTCGACACCCGACAGCACGCCGACCCACACACCGTCGAGGCCATCTACCAACAATCAACAACTGTATTCGAGCAATTCGTTGCCGAATAATACGCAAAACAGTCAAAACTACAACGCGAACGCGCAGAACGCCGCGAATTCGGTATCCTCCCCGCACAGTTCCTACCCAGGATCCAGCGCGAGCACGCCGACGTATGCTCCGAGCTCGCCCAATTTCGCCACGCCTCCACCGTTCGTCCCTCCGCCGGCTTATGGGACTCAGCCGCAGCACGGGAACAGTTCAAGCCTAACGAGACAAAACTCGAAGACGGAATCGATGTATTCACACAACACGATTCAAACGATCAGGCCGAATCCGAATATGGACACCGTGCGACGAAGTGCCTTGAAGCAGGGCACCAGCCACTACGCGGTGCCGCCGTATCTAGCGGAGCTGAAAGCCGCGTCCAGTCCCCAGCCGCAGCGAAGAGTGACCATCCAAGAACCACCTACGTCGCCCAAGTCGAAAACCGGTACCGGCAAAAAGATCACGTTCAACCTTCCGCCTCAGCAGGAGCCGGGCAGTCCAGCTCTGCCACAGAGGAAACCCATGCCGCCGAGGAGATCGGACAGCACCAGGCTCACGTCACCTAAGAAACTCGCAGCGTCCGACCAGGCGCCTCCTGGCGATTTCTTAAAGGATCTTCAACGAGTAATGAGGAAGAAGTGGCAAGTGGCACAAAAATGTAAACTGGATTCAAGCACGACGCCACACGAAGTCCTCGGTTTCCGCGATCCACCACCGGCCATCGCAGATTACAGAGAGACGAACGTTTCGAACTGGGTTCAGGAGCACTACGGAGCTGACAATTTGTACGAGAACGTTTACGCGACGGATCCGCACGCTCCGGTGGAGTACGCTTCTAGCCCGGCCCGACAACCGACCGTCAGATTCGCAGACGAGAATCGTAGTATCAATATCGTGAACGCCATCGCCAGCAAACGAAGGCCACCGCCTCCGCCGCCGAAGAGGGCGGAAACCACTCATTTGACCACCACCAGGGCGATGCACTGACAATAGCAGATACTTCAGCCCCATCCCGAGAGGCGATGGTTTTGCTGCTTATGCAGCTGGTGGAAGGACTAAGGGTGAGGGGGCGAGTGTTATTCGCTTTGTTCTCTGTGATTCGGTCAACGTTTCGAGGTCCTAATTATCGAGTCTGCGTGTTTAATCGTCCTTCACGTTTATCGTACACGTTCGGTACTTCGATGATGCCAACGACGACGGACGATATGAGATAAAAAAACGACAATTCGACGATCCTTATCGTTGAAGAGCTTTGTATCGCGTACAGTCAGCGTTTACCTGGAAATTAATCAGCTGCGACCCCATTCTAGGATAATCGATGTACAATTTAGGGTCCCAGGGACGAAAAATGGTCGATCGATACTGCCAATCGAAAACCCATAGCCGACCTCAAGTCGCAGGTTCGAGATAGTAGAAATTTTTTCAGCAACGAGTTTTACAAGTCCAGTCTAAGGGTGAACGTTTGATCATTGCGAGTTCGATGTAAAACATCAAATATCTCAGCGTCGGTTTCTCGACGACTGATCACGGCTTTGGGCGTAAGGGGAATGAAATACTGCCGCACATATTCAAGATGTGATATAATAAGTCTTAAGTTGCTATTTTATTCGATCTCAAAAGATCGAGGAACGAGCACCGCGATCGAATTAAAACAAAGAAAATAAGAGACAAATAAACGATGTGCACAGGATAATCGCGATGGCATTTCTGTGTACAAGTTAACAAGTTACAGAGTTAACTTCGGGCTTAGCTAAATATCCTTGATATCCGCTGATATACGTTTAATATGAATCACGGGACGGGGCAGATTTTTCTTGCGCTGTTCCCGGAAAAACGATTAAGAGCATGAGAAAATAATAAGAAATTTAGTTTTCTTTTTTCAAAAAGGTGCTTTTCAGGCTCATCAAAGTATGGAAATCCGATACAGGAAATTGACATTTTTCATAGACGACACAAGATGACACGCAACGCGTTTTTTAAAACCCTCGTACATATGTGTGTATGTATATAAGTGGAACATGTATGAGCGTTTATATCAATATATCGACTTTTTTGATGCTGTATGTTTAGATATCGTACGATATTGACACAACCTCCGCGACGTGTACACGATAATGCATAATGTATTCGATGGACCTCGATCCTGAACGATATACACGCGACGCTACAGGTTTGTCGTCGAGGCTATATGCAACATACAAACGTACACAGGTACACATAATTTTTACCATCGATAAGCGATTATTACCCCAACTCTTTTCAAGTTTCTAGCCATTCTTACTTCTCCCCATTTTTTTTGTTATTTTCCTACTTCAGCTTATAACTGAATTACTGATAACACTTAGAATTTGAAAGGTAAAACGGGATACCTTACGAAGTTCAATAATTTCGTTTTTAAGCAAAAATAATTATTAATTATCCTCGAAATTGATTTGAGCCAAACGATGTTTCGAAAGCTGATCGCATGATACTCACATTGTTATCTTCAATTTTTAACAGTCAACACTTGAACATGTTTCTTGTTCTTCACAAATCTACGATACGAACTACTGCAAACGTTTTCATATCACGTCGTTCGCCTACTTCTGTCTGAATCTTTCTAATCGGTCGATCGTCGAAGCAATGTAACACGCTCCACTGTATCGTTTTATACAATCATATCGATAAAGAAAAGCCGAGGTACATAGTTCGCCATTCACACTTGCCGATGGAACCATCAGCAATGACTGAGGGCCTCTCTTTGGCCGGCACAAGCCATATAACTTTTTATATCAACCTATTGCCAGGGCAGTTTCTATCAAATTTTGTGTGTCTTCGCGCAAAATATTGAATCACTCTTCGGACACACTTTTGTGATCTCGTCGAATCGCACTCGGCTCGCCTTTTCAAAAATAATAATTAATAATGAGTCAGACGGTGAGGGAGAGTCGTGAGCTTTTTAAAGGGTACGAAGAGAACACGATATTTTCTACTAGCTGATTTTGATAGGAGCTAGGTGTATCGGAGGGAGACTTTTTTTACGCGTATACGCAGTGCCTCTCCTGGTGAGCTTTTTTCACATCGTTCGAACGCGAGAGTCAAAACAAAAAAGGATGATAGAGTCGAGGGTTGATACCGACTTAGAACGGAATAATCATGCCGTGCACGCGGTCCAATCAAAACTGAACCAATAATAATAAAATGGTACTGATTGCGATATACACGTTTTTTTAGATGACACATCTGACTTAACGATTTTTGACTGACTTTCTATTCATGATAGTAGGCTCGCGTTTCTATAATTGATCATCGCCTCAGATGAACACTTTCAATCCGGTTGTTTGAAATTTGGAAACGATACAATTTAAAATTGTAACCATCAACGTGATATTTGTAATCGCAGAGAGCGTGAGTAACGTCGAATATTGTTTTCAAGCTATTTTTATTGACTAATAAAAAGTAGATAATAACTAAATATTGAAAACAATTTTTTGAACTTGAAACTGAAAGAAATTACGTTTTATCTTTAATCAACTCTGTAATCCATTCGGTTTGACGAATGTTTATATTATATTCGTAAGGTTTGATTTATTTATTTTGATATTGTACATAATTGTAATTCTAAAATTAGTGCAAATATTTAATAAAAATATGAATGAAAACGATGTTTTAAATTTATATCTTTATTTTATGTACAAATATTTGACGCTGTAGCTACTTAATTATCCTTTAATATTAATCGAAGTTAAAAACGATACAAAACATGATCGATTGGGTTACAGAGGGGAAAGTATCTACGAAGGTACTTCCTAATAAAAATATTTGATTCAGTCATAGTATTTCATTAGAATGTTTCATACTGCCATTTCTTTAAGAACCGCACGAAGAGGTGATACAGAGCACGTGGTTTCAGTTTCCCGAAACATTTGCGATGAACGGCGAGCGCGCCGTCGCGAAACTAACAACGTCTTTTTATACCAGTACTGTTTAAGGAACAATAATCGAGCTGAACAAAACGAGGGAGAATCGCTAAGAGAGCGAAAACGAGAAAACGTGGAAAAGAACGGCGGGTAGCTTTAGTGGATAGGTTGCGTGCTCGATCGTTCCCGTAGCGATTACGAACACTGATTTGATTGTGTGCTGCGCACTCGGAGCACCGTCAAGACTCTCGATCATGAGAGGCGGACAATTTACGAAGATGGAAAAATACAGGGGTGCCTTGAAACATGTCCAGGACTTTTATCTTCAAAGCTTCGTCGTCAATCCTGACAGTTTCTGGAACGAAACGTAGGACTTCGTGTATATTGACGCTTGCTTTATGAGTTCATCTTAAAATTATATTTTTTTAACGTGATTTCGTGGTAAATTATGTATTTAACGAGCAGCCAGGATATGTTTTAATAGGCAAAACTGTAGCTAAACTGTGACGTTAATAAGTTGATTGGAAAATTCGATATTCCCTTGCGATTGGCAAAGGGTAGTGTGCAATCAGAGTAATTCTGGACGACGTAAGATTGTAAGCGAACGATGAGAGGGACAGATATGATAATAAGAATGATCGTAAATGACTTTATCATCCACGGATGAGAGGGAAAGATAACTGAGAATGTTCTCTATCCTTGTGTATCGTACCTTACGTACTTTTCTTCTTTCCCCGAGTACGTTGTACGTTTTTTGTAAATATTGTAACGAACACGAGGCGGAGTGCAAAGGATGGGAGAGAGGGAAGAGAAGAAGGGAAGAACGATCGACGACCGGGTCGCGAGACGGCCGCGACCGATTTAATAATATAAACGCACTATTTATGACCACCGAGGGGATATGATTTTTCGTTTTTGTCACGCGTACAGAAAATTGTATCGGAGGGGACGGAGAGGACGAGATACGGGGGCGCGAAGGATGTAAGGAGAAAAAGGGAATCCAGTCTTGCGAACGGGGCTCCACTGCGTTTCGTTTGGTTTATCTGGCCGACGAATGGAACGAACTCTTTGGACACTATGTTTGCGTCTTATCGATTACTCCTTTTTTTAAATGTACGCCTTTAGTGGTTAGATCTGTTTAATCATCGTTTCTCGCGCTTTTTCTTTTGTTTCCTCTTTTCATGGTTTCCTGTCTTAGATTATCGCGACGTTGAACATTGCGACAATACCAATTAGTTTTGGGAAGATCTGACGATCGCGTTTCATTTTCATTTTTTTTTTTTTTGGAATACATTGACACACCGAATTGAAAAGAAAGAAAAAATGCAAGCAGCAGTTGAAATATTATAGGTATTATATTCATGTTTTTATGTAAATAAATTTTTGGTATATTTCAATGATCGTGGAGTTGGTCGTGTTCTCACTTCACACCCGTAACACTTCCTGCCAATAAACCGAAAATTCTCTTTTGCCGTATTATGTAATGCAAAATGTATAATCCGCTTCATAAATCAATCATGAAATATCCTCATCCGAGCGACAACCTTCATTCTCCATTTTTACGCCCGCTTCTTTCTTTAAAACGAAATATCAAATCGAGAAGGTGAAGCGTTTCCAGCGAGAGCGCGAGTGATAAAATTGTGTCCATAAAGCGCTTCAATAAAAAAAGCTTCGCTTTTAATATTCCCGTGGCGCGCAAGGGCTGCGTCGCCTCATGCAGGTACGCGTAAACTGTTCGGCTATTGAATTTTCTTTGCATAAAGCCGATACCTGTGTCTTGTGTACGCTCGTATAACGTAATACCGTCGCCCGATGAAAAAATTAAACGGCCATTTTCGGCGTTCCGATGTTCACTTCGTCAGGCAATTTTTCAATCTCCACCCGTAAAACTAGTTTACCTCGCAACGAAGCAGTTTATCAAAAAGTGTCTACGGTAATACTTCAATTTCTACATTCCGCGTATGCGCCACTTTTACGACGGAGCTTCCTGAACCATCCATAAATTTACGTCGCACGATTTTTCATTCGTTTAGGCGTTTCAGCGACCGAAGCTCGAATTTCTGACGAAGGACGGCTGAGCAATTACATCGATTTCGATAAGTAATTTCCATTTCAGGATTATTGCTTTCGTAGCCGCGGCTCGTGTATCACCTTTACGTACGTTGTTTCATAACTCGAGAAGATTGACGTAAATATATGAAATTGCCGGGCGGCTGGTTGGCCGCCGCCGTAGGCGCGGGGCACACAATTTTATAGGTTCCTTTTTACGACTTATGGGAGTCGTGCGTTCTACTTTGCGTTTACGTTATACGCGACCCTCGACCGTTTACGTCCTCCGACGCCGAGAACCGCGACCTTTTTGCCTCTTCTTCTCTATCAGAAGTCGTCCGAAAATTCTCATCTCTCTTCCCATCCGAATTCTTCAAGGACATCCAACCCCTCGTCCTGTTCCGCGAGCACGAAGATATGAAACGCGACGCGAAGTTTTACGGGCGACGCGTCTCCGTTCCGCGATTCCAAATTTATTCACGCCCGTCTTGGCATCAAATTTAATTCCACAATTTGAACAGGTCTGCTCGAATAAATTTCTATCATTACGAATCAATATTGCACTTATTTCTTGTGGAAAGATGCAAAAATGTTTTGTCGAATTTGAAGAGATTCTTTTGAGCGACGTGGCTGGAGAATAACGCAAAGCACGGAAAGGTCAAAGTGTGTTAAGAGAGCGAATTCTTACGTTCGATCTCGTACGAGCCATTCTGAATCCTGAACGAGGCGGACAGATAAAGCGGATGCGAGAACCGTGAGTCGTAGCCAGGATAGCGGAACGTTTCGAACGGTCCGGTTTCCAGGAACACGGGCGTAAATCACGATTTTATTACGGATAATTTTACGAGGAGTCGAGGTTGCCGCCGCGGCCGCCCGACAACCGACGCTTGTTCCACTGTATATCGGCTACCTTAAACTTGTAATCGCGCGTCTCTTAAGATGCCCGCGGCCGCGAAATCGTTAACGAATTAGAAAAACTTGGACGTAGATGGAATCGTCGGCGACGTTTTCGCGAAACGAGTGAAGCGTTCGCTACTCTTCATCCAATTTCAGAAAATTGACTTCGTCTCGAATCGTGTTATTCTGTCTATGCAGGATCTTGAAATATTTAACTC